ATCCAGGTTTTATGGAAGATGAAACTTAAAAAATTTGAGGGAGCCCTGTTCAAGGTGAAGGCTGGGGGCCTGTGTTCTGCTCGCAACACCAGCATCACCCATCAGAGTGCCAGTTCCAGTCCCTGCTGCTCTGCTTCCCAGCCAGCTTCCTGCTAATGCTCCTGGGAAGGCAGCAGATGATGGCCCATGTATCTAGCTCCCTTCTACCCATGTGGGAGACCCACATGGAGTTCTTGACATAGGCCTAGCCCAGACCTGGCTGTTGCAGCCATTTGGGGAATGAACCAATCAATGGAAGATCTCTCTCTCTCTCTGTCTCTCTGTCACTCTGCCTTTTGAAGAAATAAATCTTTTTTAAAAAAAGTGAAGACTATGAAACAATGTAAAAATACATACGAAATGAATATTTATTTAGAACAAAAATAGATCAAAGCGAATTTTTAAAAGAATTAATTTGATAGGTACTACAAATGTCAAAATACCTAGAAAAGTAACAATCTTTTTATAGATATGCCTGTGTAAGATCTTTTTTCTTTCTTCTTTTCTATCAATTCCCTTATAGCTTAATTATATGATAAAATTTTATAATGTTTTCTGTAGAGAGAATAGAAAGATAATTCCATCTTTTAGTGTCGTTAATCAAAATTGATTTTTATTTTAACAGTTTAGAAACGTTTCTTTCAAGTTTTATCTCTCATTATTGGTAATTTTCCCACTACATTGTTGGTAAAATTTTAGGACTATTATACTTGGAAAAACTGTTACACATTTTTTTCACTATATGAGATTTCAGGACAGGGGTAGATATTGTGACAGTGTGTTAAGCTGCCACTTGCAACACTGACATTCCATATCAGGTACAAGTTCGAGTCCTGGTCTTCTACTTCCAATCTAGCTTCCTGCTAATGCTACTGGGAAGTCAGTGACCAAGTTCTTTGGCCCCCACCACTCGTATGGAAGACCAGGATAGAGTTCCTGGTTGTTGGCTTCTGCTGTTTGAGTGGTAAACCAGTAGATGGAAGATCTCTCTCTCCTTCCCTCTCTCCCTCCTTCCCTTTCTTTCTCTCTTTCTCTCTCAAATAAATAAATAAATCTTTTAAAAAAAGATTTCAGGACACTTCAAGTTAGTTTTGTGTATGTACATGCTTAATAACTGAATCTTCAATATTCTTTGATGAGTTTGTTAACCATTTTATCATCAGTTCTGTGTTGGTCCCTGCATGTTGGTGTCAGTACAGTGAGTAGAGGGAGTATTATTGAAGCCATTCCTAGTGGTACTGTTGTAATAATTTAGCTGGACTCAGAAATGGCTGTAAGTCCTATGAGTATACTCCCCAAATTGTGATTAAATGTTATTCCAGTACAAGTTCCCCATAAGTTCCCAGGATCCTTATACTCACTCCTGTAGTCACCCAATTCAAGGAGAAATGTGATGGAATAAGTCCTAGTGGAGAGAGACAGTGATATTAGTTGATAATGATTTAAATAATCACCTGCTAATTGTACACAAAGACATGCCCATGTGATTATGTTAATAAGGAGTTTCCAGGGCCTTGGACAGACCCTGTACAAGCAAAGAATACTTAACACATAACCCTCATTAGCTCCATGATTAGTTTGCTTGTGAAGGTTTGCTCAGATTAAACTAGGCTTACTTCCCTGGATGGTGGCACACTAGGCTTCCTGTCACTCTTCACTAAATGACCTCACACATTTCAGTACGTCTCAGTTCCTTGTGTTTCCTTTGCTTAAAAATCGTGCCAATCTCGCACATTTCCTATGTTTTCTCACCTTTAGAAGGTAGGTGAAAAAGAGCCAAGGGGCTGGTGTTTTGGTGCAGCGGGTTAAGTTGCCACACTGGCATCCAGTATTGGAGTTGCAGTTTGAGTCACAGCCATTCTGCTTCCAATCCTCCTTCCTCCTAGTGTGTCTGGGAAGGCAGTAGAAGGTGGCCCAAATGCTTTGGTCCCTGCCACCCATGTGAGAGACCTGGATGGAGTTCCTGGCTCCTGGCTTCAGCCTGGCCCAGATTTGACTGTTGTAACAATTTGAGGAGTGAAGATGTTTCCCTGTCTGTCACTCCCTCTCTCTCTGACACTCTTCCTTTCAAGTAAATAGATAAATAGAGAAGTAAACATATATGTAAATAAATAAATCTTAAGTGAAAAAGATCCAAGGTTTAAGGAGTTTGCCCTAAGAAGAAGTAATTCCTGGTCCAGTTTTTGCATCACTCATAGAGACGTCTTCTCCCGCATCATCTAAGATTCTCATGTGCATGAAAAGTGTGAGGGGCAGTCATTTGACACAGAGGTGAAGGCTCTGCTAGGGATCCTACATCCCTTGTCAGACTGGTTCCTGGCTCCTCTGCTTCTAACCCAGCTTCCTGCTAGTACACACCCGGGGAGGTAGAGGTTGATGCAGCTCAAGTGAGAAACCTGTATTGATTTCTAGGCTCCTGGCTTTTTCCTGTCCCGGCTCTGGCTGATGTAGGCATTTAGGGAGTGAACCAAGAGATAGAGGATCTCTCTCTCTCCCTCTCTCTCTGGTCTCTTTCAAATGGAAGTATAAATAAAATGTGACCAAAAAGTCTGCATCTCTCCAGATCAGTATGTTGATCAAGGGTACCACTCCCTTGCAGTCCTACGGAAGAAACACTGTACTGGCCAGCAAGAGTAATTGGCCTATCTGGCTGAACCTCCCTGGAATGAGTACCTGTCCTTGAAACTTCACAAGGACAGGACAGGAATGAGTGATATCATTCCAAGGAGCTTCTGATGTGCAGGATTTCGGATTGGAGCAAACCACAAGGAGGAAAAAACAGTCTTAGGAGCAAGATCCCCTGTAGGTGCAAGTCCAGGTGTGGATTCCTCTATCTAAATGACACTGTTGGCTCCTAGCCAGTCTTGGGTGTTCAGTAGGGATTTCAAGAATTTTGAGATACCCACTCCAAAGCACAGGGCCCTGAAGTGTCTCTGCCTGAGTCTTAGAGCAGTGCTGGCACAGAGAGTCCTGGCATAGCTCTAACTTTCTTTTCATCGCAAAGTTAGAATCTGATGATCTGTTGGAAAAGCTGAAATTTTTCCTGGAATTGTTTACTGTTGCTTTCATTGATAATATTTAAATGATCTTCATAAAGACTGTGATAGTTGGTCTTTAACAAGTGGTAGTATGTTTTGTATTTGATGATAAATTGTGTTCATGTTTTGATTCCTGTACTTCCAATCTTCTTTCCTGGTGGGACCTTCTCTGTTAGTGCCTCCATCAAAATCCCATTCCCATCACCCTCATTCTAGTGTTCCTTTGTGGTCATCCCTGGGTGTTATGGGTAAATGATTTGAAAGATCAGCAGCTTCCATGTCTGTGTCTGCGCCTTTGTTTAGGCAGTGGGAAAGACATCTGCAAATCAAAGCCAACGGCAGTGAGGAGGTTCACCCTGTACCTCTGCATTTCCTGCTCTCCTGCTTGTGCTTGGCCTCTCCCTGTCTGCTTCTGTCTGCCTCTGCAGCATTTGTTCTTGCTCGCGATGGTGGCGTTGCATGACGTGTCATGAATGCCTGAAGGAACTTCGTGTGGGGAATAAAAGCTTCAAATATCTGGAGGCTCATTGTGTGGAGAATAAGATGACTGTGCACTTGAACTGGCTTGGAGGGTAGCAGGTAGAGAAAGAGTGAATCCCAGGGCAAAGGAAAACTATGATGGGTAGCAGAGTGGAATGTATTGGCTTGTGATAACCCCTTGGCAGGCTTGTCAGGGACTAGACTCAGACATGCATTGGACTTGGAGTTTGTACTTCTGTACATGTAGAAACACAGGCTAAGAAAATCTGGGTGACCACCCCCCAAGGTTAGATGGAGTGACAGAGTGAGAACAGCCTGACAGAGTGAGAATATCCCATTTACTTGATTTTACCTGCCTCTCCTCTATCCAAGTGGACCTCACTCGTGGACACTGTGTCCTGAATCTTTGGCTATTGTATACTGTATTTGCCCTGATGTGTTTAAGCCCTTCATGCTCCACTGTGGTTCCTATCTTCTGGTGCTAATTCCTCTCATTACAGGCTCCTCATGGTCATGGCGTCTGCTTGTGGCCTATCTAATCCTCAGCTTGCCTGGGGCTCAGTTTCTCTGCTTATGACTTAAGCCACATGGTGTTTTGTAGACTTAAGTTGTCATTAAATTCTTTCCAATACTTTTGAGTCCCTGAATCTCTGACTCTTGGCTTGTTTGGTTGGGGGGTTGCAATGTTTGTCTTGATTGGACACTTCATGGCCACTAGGATGTGGTTTGTGGAATGGTTTTGTCACCATGCCTGTATTTTGTCTTTATGCCTCTATTCTCTCCAGCGTAGAATTTTAGATTCATAACTGTCTCAGGAAGAGCGTTTTGACCAGCCTGGTTGACGAAACCTATCCTGACTTTCTCTTGCTGTCTTCTCTTTTTCCCCCAAGGCAGTGCTTTATTGTTCCTAAGGAGCCCCTGAGCCATGCTTAGTCCCAGCTGCAGGCTCTCAGATGAGGTAAGGTCCAGTTTGTTTGCATCCATGCAGTTCCTTTAGATGTCAAAGGTAAATGTCCTGCACTAAGAGAGAAAGGTGAACATATTTTTAATGAGGTGTTTGGAAATATTTTTTTGTTTTCCTTACTAGAAGCAGATTAAGCTTTGCATATTACAAAATATTTTACTACCTAGAATCCACCTTTTATCTTTAAAAAAATACAGGAAAGAAAAGCATGATAAACCATTTACATTTATTCATTCTCCCTCAAGTAATCTGGATGTAGACTTGCTTGTCCATAGAAAAGTTCATTGGAGTTCCTGACAGTGCAGTGAAATACTAGCCATGACACATATGCACTGCTAAGTTGATTTTGACCCTTACTTTGTCATCTCGTGGGAGCAGAGTAGACTTGTCACTGAGAGGCTGTGCCCTTCACCAATGACCCGGTGCCTCTTTCTAAGCCTTTTGTCCTCCTGGACCAAGATCCTTGACTCTTGTCACATCACTGATCTGGAGCATCTGCTTAATCACCTGGCTGAAGTGACACCAGCTCTACAGTACCTCAGCCTGCTGGGAAACGTGGCATGTCCCAATGAGCTGGTCAGCTTGGAAAAGGATGAAGAAGACTACAAGAGATACAGGTGAGTGTCTGTGTGGTGGGAGAAGGGGGAAGAGGCATCCATGGGGGATGATATTATACCAGGGGGTGTGTAGTTGATGTTGGGTATGTATCAGTGCACTTCCCAAGACAGTGTTAAATTATCACCTCTTGGTAACCTTCAGTCATTGTCTCCCTTTACCTTGTTCGTACCTTATCAGTATATGCTCAGTAAATATTTTAAGCTTTGCAAGTCATAAGGATTCTTTCTCAACTCTTGAACTCTGCTGGCTGCAGTTGCAGCGTGGAAGTAACCATAAATAATCTGTACATTATTGGGCATGGCTGCATTCCCATAAAACTTTATTTATAAAGCAGGCAGTAGGCTAGATTTGACCCATGAGCTGTAGTTTGCTGACCCCTGTGTTGTAAGATCTCTCTCTGGTCTGCCTCACAATCACTGAGAGAGAGAACACTTCCATCCGAAGTTTAGGGGGCCAACTAACATATAACCCCAAGGGAAGTTCCCCAGGGCCCTAAGCACCAGCAAGCTGTGCCTCGCTGTCCTCTAGTCTTGCACTGTGACAGGCTGAGAAGCAATGCTTCTCTGTCATATCTGGACCATCTTCTTTGAAACCCCTGATCCAAGCTCACTGCTCTTAGCAAGTCTTCTTGATCTCACACATTTCACTAAACCCATTTTATTTTCCTTCTTCATTTTACATTCCATATCTTCTCCTTCTTGGTGGTTGTTTTATAAATGTTTTAATGGTGTCTTCACATGTGTAGCCTCTCTGTCCATTTTGATATAAGCTTTTGTTAACACCCCACCAAAACCAATGTTGCAGGATGGGAGCAGGTGATAATGGAAGAAAGTTAATATGAGGCTGGTAGCACTCCTAGATACAGAAATGGATGGGTTTTGGAAAGAGGATAATAGCTTGAGGAGAACTTGTTGTATTGGGACTTATAAAAATCTAGGGTGACCCAAAAAGCAGAGTACTTGCAGGTATTCATTTTGTATAAAAGCAAAGCTGTAAGAAATTATTATGGCCGTTGAACACTGTAGACTAAAAAATACACACATGTGGACACACACATGTGTCTGTATGTAAGGCTACATAAGACATTTAGTTAGATTTTTGTATTGGGAAGGATTATTTACCTTTAACTTCATTTTCTAAGTGTTTTGATTAGTTCTGTAGAGATCTTAGACAGTTCTTAAGACATCAGAATAAGGCTCTGATCCTACTTGTTAAAACGTTCATTAAGTCAGGGCCCACGTGTGTGTAGTGGGTGAAGCCTCCACCTGTGACATCAGCATACCATAAAGGTGCCAGTTCATATCCCGGATGTTCTCCTTCCAACCCAGCTCCCTGATAATGCCATTGGGAAAGCAGCAGCAGATGGCCCAAGTATTTGGACTCCTGCACCCATGTGGGAGACCCAGATGAAGCTCTTGCCTCCTGGCTTTGGCCTGGCCCAGCACTGGCAGTTGTGGCCATCTGAGAGGTGAACCACTCAATGGAAGATCTCTGTCTCTCTCCCACTTCTCTCTGTAACTCTTTCAAATAAATAAATCGGTCCCTATGAAAAAAAAAAGTTCATTAAGTCATTCTCCATCATGATGATTTTCATTTGGGACTTGATACTACAGATTTGTATGTGTGTTTTCTTAGAGGAAATATGTGTGTGTGTGTATTTAATGTCCAGTAGATGAGTATTATTTATTATTTTCTCAATCATCACTTTATGTTGCTTAATAACATAGCATTTGATTTTTTCTGGAACATTCACATCACGTTTGAGGCATTCAACAAACTGATTTCAGGTCACTTAAAATGTATTTTAACTTCTTGCAATACTTTAAGATACTTCTTCAAGAATGAAGCAAGTCCAAGAAAATTCTCCCATAAACATTTTTAGCAAACCAACATTGTTTGGGAAATTCTTTTTTTTTTTTTTTTTTTTGACAGGCAGAGTGGATAGTGAGAGAGAGAGAGACAGAGAGAAAGGTCTTCCTTTTTGCCATTGGTTCACCCTCCAATGGCCACTGTGGCCAGCGCGCTGCAGCCGGCGCACCGTGCTGATCCGATGGCAGGAGCCAGGTACTTATCCTGGTCTCCCATGGGGTTCAGGGCCCAAGCACGTGGGCCATCCTCCACTGCACTCCCGGACCACAGCAGACAGCTGGCCTGGAAGAGGGGCAACCGGGACAGAATCCGGTGCCCCGACTGGGACTAGAACCCGGTGTGCTGGTGCCGCAAGGCGGAGGATTAGCCTATTGAGCCGTGGCACCAGCCCCTCATTTGTTTTATGAATTTGCTTCTTTAGATTTCTGTGTTTTATTCTACAAAAACAAACCTCATTAATTTGGAGATTTGTGACAAAGAAGTTGGTATGTAAGTTGCTGGTTAGTACATCCATGTCCCATGTCATAGTGCCTGGTTTTGAGTTCTCGCTCCGGCTCCCAATTCTAGCTCCCTGCTATGTGAACTCTGGGAAGAAACAGGTGATGACTTAAGTAGTTGGGTCCCTGCCACCTACATGGGGATCTCGGTCGAATTCCTGGATCCCAGCTTTGTGTAAGCCCAGCCCTGGCCATTGTAGCCTTTTGGACAGTGAACCAGTGAATAGGAGTTCTTTCTCTGTCTCTCAAATAAAAAGGAGAAAAAAAGCCCAAATTTTTTATCCTCATATGTGTGCCTGTATATGGGCATGCACTCATATACATCTACATATATATGCATATTTTCACACATGTTCATTTATATTGTTCATTCACGGAATGAAAAAGCTCTATTTTAATTCAACTGGAAGCAAGTTTTTGTTGCTTTTATTTCCTAGAATGAGAGAGAGAGAATGAGGGAAGTTTCTAGTTCTACTGTATTCTATCTGGTCTCAAACAGGAGGCTTATAAGGTTGTACAAACAAAAGAAAATGCTATTTCTTTGTTGTAGCTGATCACATTGGCAAAATATTAAGACCCTGGTCCAAGGGTCAGATCAGAAGATGTACTCTGGAGTCCAGCTTTTGCCAGTGGGACCTTTAAAACAAGGAGGACAGCCTAGGCTGGTAATCTTCAACCAAGGATGTGCCTCTTGAGTCAGCTAAGCCTTTCAGGTTCTATGGGGTGGCAGCAAAGCTCCTCATAGTTGATTCTGATGTCCATTTGGCTCCAGGATTCTGAGGCACTCTGCTCCCAGGCCAGCTACAGCTCTTCCTTTACCATCTCACGCCATTTTAATCTTGTATATTTCTCTCATTTCTTCATCTACGTCGACAAGCAGCTTCCAGTGGATACAAACCAAGCCTTCTTGTTGCTTAAAGCTTCATCAGCTTCTAAACTAGTGTTGGACGTGGAGAAGGGGCTTGGTTGGCTTGTGGTTACCTTTCCCTTTCAGGAGCTGATAATTTATAGATTGATGCAGGCACCTTTGGGTACACTTCCCAAGGAATCAGATCAGTCGGGATATCAACAGATGTAATAAAAATAAGCAAGGAACTATCACTGCGACTTAATTCACATTCAGGTTGCTGAGCTATGAGTCTTTGGGGAGGTACTGGATTTAATGGGTGGTCCATCTCTTGGGTTATGCTGGACAGACTATGAGCCTGACTCCGCATACATGCCTATTTCCATGGAGGGAAGAGCATAGGAACACTGCTTGTTGGTACACATATGGCAAAGTTTCCATGAAGGACTGTGTTCCAGGGCTGGCCCACAGCCAAAATCACATCTAGTCTGGAAAATCTGTAAGTCACCCACAAGGATGGCGAGATGCTGGCCTTGTGAGACCAACAGCAGAGTCCGGGGGCAGAAGGAATGTTCAGCATGTGCAGTCACTGCACGGCATTCACGATCGTTGAATGGAATAGTCGGTCAGTTCTCTAGCAGGTTTGAATGTGTTATTCATTCATTTATTGCTTTAGTTTTGATTGCTGATTTGCTGAGCACTTACCCTTGTGTTTAGAGGAGAGAAATGGATGTGACATGCACTTCCGTGCTATGGTCTGTGAGCAGCTCCACTTTGTTTACTCAGGAGTTTGTGCTTCATTTGTGCCTGAGAAGTCTTAGGGTTTCACAAGATGACTTTTGAATTTAAAATTCCTGTGGCATTTGAGTTTATACAAAGCAATGTGACTGCCTTTTTTTTTTTTTTTTTTACTTTTGGTAAAATATTTTCCTGGCCCTTCATTCACCAACCGTGAGATCTGCCTTCTCTGTACATAGCTGTATTACGTAGAGTGTAATAGTGGAGCCTCTATGTAAATTTATGTGACATTTTCACTAGAAAATTGCTTAAAAAATGAATGATATTTCTACAGTTTACTGTTTCTCACTTTAAGTACATTTTCTGACAATATGTCTTCTATTAATCATTTAAGCAATAGTAGGAGCCTTAAAGGAGTGCATTCAGAAGCAAGAACCCATGGTTCATTTAGTGCTGTCTAAAAAAATTTCTTATTGATTGGCATCCTCTGTGGTTATGTGATGTAATATTTATAATATGTCACCCAGTCATACATCAAAACAAGTGTGTCTGTTGTTTCATTTCCATGGGAGATGTTGATTTCAAAGAGGTCAGCCCAGTTTTAGGTCACATTGTGGCCAGCTACTGGACCAGAAATGGGAAGTGACTAGATTTATGTAGTTATTGGAAATGGCATCACAGATGCTGGGGTTTCTGCTGAATCTCCCCTCCCCTCCCCCTGCATCCACCCCTTTCACTTCCTCATTTACCCCCGTGCACCTGGTTGGATTTTTTTGGCACACATCCCCATAGTAAAATGGGTTCATTAAATCTTTGTGTGCATATGAACACACCACCAAGTTGTCAAGCTGTGCCCTGGGCTTAGTGGGGCGGGAGCGAAACTCTGCCTGGGGTTTCCCTTTGCCATTCATCATAGTTCATGGCTGGGAAACGTTGGTTGCTGGGTTATTAAAGGAGCTTGAACTTGCCCGTACATTGCTGTGCGTTCACACTGTGCTGCTGTCTGGGAGTGAATGCTGAATGGAAGCAAATGGAACAGCAGCAGCCT